TTGAGGATGACTGTTGAGTAATGAACAAAATATCGCGTCAGCTGATCTGTTTCATCTAGATTGTGGCGAGCGGAAGCAGAGGATCGAGGCATTGGGATACACTTCTTCACAGGGAATATAGCACTGGAGGAGATCTTTATTACCTTTCAATGTCAACTTACGCGTGATAGAGTCGCCTTTGGTGGCTGGAGAAAGAGCACAGGCAAAGGTCGAGGTCAAGTACCAAACTAGGAGCTCGCACGAAGGCCATCCCCCCTTCAATTGGCTACTTTATCGTTCCATGTCTGGATACAGAAATGAAAGATCAACAAGTGAATAGCCAAAACCATGTATCTGTGGATAACGGACGGGCAGTTCTCGGGGGTGTTGTAGCTACCACTGTTGGCTCTTGATATTACTGTCTGGCCCTTCCTTTTGGATGGAGACACGGACCAGAGTAACCCTTGGGTTCAGCGCTATTGAGTTCGTGGATACGGAGTATGAAAAATTTGGTGAGCCTGACCTTCTGCCTATCCTATTCTGATTGACACTGACCACCGCTTTCGAGGGCAATAGGTGCCTGCAATACTGGATCAAAAGGACCAATTTACAGAGAATGTTTGTTCATATCTCGAGGTGAATCGACGAGTCCACCGCTGTATCCTCTATTGCCAATGACACTGTACATCTAAACTCTCGTACTTGAACCATTTTCCTGTCTCTGATCAGCTATTGTTCTACCTTCACTGGGACTGTCCATCATCAGTTGGACAATTTACTGTTTCCGGTAGTCCCTTGACGAATTCAACCACCTCTCAGCGAGATTTGTATGCCTTGCGGCCCAGTCGAGCCTAAAAGTCACGCATTTCGCAAAACACAGGAAGACCAGCACGTAGATTGAGTGATACAGCACTGGGCGTACCCACACCTGTGAGTTAAAGAAATTCTTCAGCACGTTGGTTGGGTGTAAGGTATTTGTGTTAAATGACGATACAAGCATAAAAGACTCGTGGATGAAGGAGGGGTTGGGTGTGTGGAGATGCCTACCATCACGCTGCAACCTAGTGTGTTGTATTTTATTCTCAGGAGGGACTAAGAAAATAGGCACCCAAGTTTAGCGATCATACTTTCTTCAATCATAGAGACAATCCGATGAGCTCACTTGTTCACTGCGTAACTATTCTCAACGGCTCGCCCAACCCAAGAACATATTGACCATATCAGATGCAGGCTCCTTGGTACCCGCCCAATTTGGAATATCTCCTCTTCATCGTCTTCTTCACTCCTTTGCATCTTTCAGGCATCTTTTTTTTATCATCTCAAGGATGCCGTGCCTTCCGGAGTGCTTGTCGCCGTAGCATAGCCAAGAATGTCATTGGCGCCTCTACCCGAACGGAGAGTAGTATGTAACTGACATAGGCAGTAGCCAATGCGTGGTTGAGACTATTATTGATCAAATCGTGCCTCTTCGCACAAGGAAAGAGTGCATCAGGTGAGGAGATGGATATGGGAACATTAGCGGTTACTTGGCATAGTTAGAGAAATCACTCACAGAAACTTGATGTTAGCTTCTATTCATCCTATCTGTCCATATATGTCACTATAGTCCTAGTTTAAGGCCTAGCTGGAGGGTCCAAGGCGTAACACAAGGGAATCCCAAAGACCATACGAGTCTGGTGCATTGACCGAAAGCACTTCGAAAGCCAAACGCAAATAAGAGAAGGAAAAGCCATCTGACTATTTGGGTATGGAGCGTATGGCCCGAAAGTTGTTGAGAGACTTTATTGATATGAAGGTTGACCCGAGATTTGTGTAGGTGTATAACACGAAACATATTTACATAAGGTGAGTAGAAGTTTTGCAGGAGTTTTGATGTGCCAGATGGATAAAACAAACGTATGTCCTGACTCCTCGAGTTGGTAGCATTGAATTTGCTTGTTGGCAGCCAAATAATTTGCTCCTGTGATAGCCCCTGCATCACCACAAGCTCCGAGAGTTACACTGACATCAAAGATTGGGTTCGAGATCAACCGATTCATAAATTGTTGGAGTAGGAGTGGTCAAAGTGAATGTCGTCTTGTTCAAATCTGGCGTCACCACTTGCTTCTAGAACACTCTATCAGATATATCGAACAATCAGCAGGATATTATACAATTCAAATCGTATGCAATACCCAGGTACCTTGGATAATATGGACATTTCCCTTGTCTCAGAATCATTGACGGACACCTTTCCCTCTCAATATTCTTTTCCATGTCCTTTTTGAACACGCTCTTTCACTAGTAGATTGATGACTTTACTTATTCATGTGGAATCAATTTCGTAGACCATTCAAGCAGGTACATATAACAAAGTTGTATTGACGTCAAAGTTACATGGAGTTCAAAGGCCTCGGGGACCACAGTTTAGCAAGGTGTAGCGCCGTATCTGATCAAACGGCAGGTATCTATAGCCAGTTAAAAGAAGCAAGGGTAATTATATCCTGAAAAATCGACACCTCTTCGGTGCGGGAGTCAAGCACATCCTGTTGCCGCAAAAGGTGGATCGCGGGCACACAACTTTACCCAGTTGACAGCAGAAAAGAGATTGGGATTTTACCGAGTGAGTTGGCTGGCGGGGAGTCAAGCCAATCCAAATTCGATTTCCGATTAAATCCAAATATCTCATTCAAGGAGTCAATCTTGGCAGATTCTTCACCCTTATCGATCAACTCTGCGGGAGAGTGTTTGGTCCCTAAAGTAGCGGATATAGATATGCTCGAGGGAGTGAGAATGCTCCGTCCCTTGCTACCTTAGATCGAGGCTGGGAACAAGAAATCCTTCAAAATATAAATTCGATATTCGACCAAGAGGTCAAACTCATCTCTGCTCTTCGAGAGGTCGAGGATCTTGGAACTCCAGTCAGGCAAGCAGGTATACGATATGCGAAGAACGCGCAAGCTCGGTTCGATCCCTGCTGGACCTGGACTCAAAGCTCGAGTTTCTTACGGACATTTGAGAAGATATAGAGAGAATTGCGGAGGGTTCTGGTCTAGGCAAGTTACTGCAGAAGGAGATCGAGGCATGCGACACCAAAGACCTGAACTCGGATGCCTCTAGCACCTGGTTTCCGTATGATGAGTGATGTTTATATACCTTGAGCAAGGTACAAAGTTGGGAATATCAGCGAAACGTTGTCAAAATCTTTGTGCCATCTCTCAACGACCACAAATTAAGCGGTGAGAGAGATATACACAACATCAAATGAAGGAAATTCTAGATAGTCGAATGGTAAAGCCGCCTTGGGCGGTGTCCGAGCAGGGGAGTGGCAAGGTCCAAGAGATGGCACGAGCTTGAGCCTGACTTTTACCCGGCTATTCGGCGCCAACACAAATTTCGAGCTGATTACATAACTTTTGGATTTAAATATCGGAATATACGAACAAAAGCAGGAGAGTATATCTCATGGAGAGCACATTGTATAGAAGAATTGGATCAAGCAAACTAACTGAAGCCGCACGAATAGCTCTGTACCTTCGGGGACAACTAAGAAAAAGTGCCAAGAATTTATGGGAACCATCTTCATTGTTACCGAAGAGCGAGAGCCCTCCAAAGCCGATTTATTGGGGGACACATTTAGCGTCACGAACTAGTTGGCTTCCACCTGTCTCGATATGCTAGAGACGCCCTCTCTCCGATACCGTTAGTACCTGGTGTCCCTATGAGTAGTAATGTTAATGGGCCTTGAACAAAGTAAAAAGTTTGGAATATCAGCATAGCGTAGTCAAAGATCTTTCTAACAAGGTTTTTGGATGCAGCTCAATGTATCTGAGCCCGACGATTGCTCGGTCGACGAATAGCATAAGAATTTCTCTCATCCAACGGACCCGAATGGTCAAAATGTATAAGTTAGGTAGAGAACTTGCGAACTCCGAATCGTTACTCCCAGCTGGAACGGTATCCTGCTTACAAGACAGACAGTGTATGACCCTTCTGGAGATTTTTCTGTCCCTCGAATTAATGTCGCCTCC